TTTCTTCATTTGTCAGGAGAGCGCGTTGGTGTGGTTATTACCTTACTGCGGCGAAACTATCACAATACATTACACAACACTATTAACCCTTTTAGTTGCTGTAGTTTTGGCAAGTACTTATGTTTATTAACTCATGTGTGCCGTATCTTTACAATTCCCCAGTCATAATGATAATCCATTTGAAGTGTTACCTCTTAGCTTTAGATAGCTCCTCTTTCTTGCAGGATTCAGTCTGAAAAAGACGTTAAAAAAGCGATATTTGATGTATTCAGTGTCATGTCTTTCATGTCTCGCATGTTTCGCTAAGATTCCACCATTAGGCTTTAACTCCAGTTCAGTAAGTTTCGTCTTGGTATCATTCTTGGTGTCATTGTGATCGAATAGTCAGAAATTGCACGGAAATGTCTGCTTATATGGCTAATCCATTGTGATACTGGGTCGTGCTCAAGATAACCCAAGGTCGCAAATAGCTTCTGAATGACATACAAACAATTATTCTTATCAGGATGTAGATTCAACTTTCTGTTCAACAACGAGAAAGCGCAGGCGCTAACCCTTTTCGAAATAAGCTCGGAGGCAACTGTCGCTTTAAACGGTTAGTTGATGTGACAAAGTCATGCATGAAGGAGTATGTAGTCGAGTGGCCAAGGTGTTGAATGGTGAGATTGCGGTGACATACTTAGAACTCAGCCATGCTGCAGAGCGTATTCCATACCGCGCTCCATTCTCGAAAGATCTGTTGGGTGCAACGTCTCGAATCAGCTCATAAGTATAAATAGTAGTGGACTCGAAGTATATCAGTTGGCACGCATAAGTAAACGAATACATTTCCAAGCAACTGTCGAGCATCGAACTGCACCTCGCGTCAAAGCATAGAATGAAGGCTTGGGCGAGCAGAGCAATGCCTGTTCGAAGTGTACGGAGTACTTCAAAAGATAAATCATTATGCCAATGTTTGCGCCGTTTAACCGTCCGCTCCTCAGTAGACCAATACTTCTTTCACGAAAAACAATAGAAGTGCGAGTAAAAAAGTCTGTTGACAAAATTATAGGAACAAGCATCCTCAGAATGTGAGAATTGTCTGCTAATCGACTCTACAATAATACAGCGAAGACTGCCAGCCATTAGGCCAGCCAAGAGCTAAGATCAGCAATGCTAAGGAAACCCACTTCGGCTGATCCCGACCGCTTCATGTCCACCACTGCATAAGAAACTGCCATACTTCTGCGATGTTGATGTTTTTTCATTGATGGTGTGATAGCGTAGGATTATCAATTATAAGGTTGACTCCCACAGAATCGTGCGGTCGTCTTTATACTGACACGAGTAGGGTGAGGGGTGCACATGCAAGGTCTCTTGCATGATCATTACAATAATTTGCTCCGGTGTTGCAGTTCGATGATTTATTTCAGAAGCAGCTAGCTTAAAAGACAGTAGATATCGCTCTGACGTTCAGGGTTGGGGTGCTTCAGAAGAAATTCAGCTACGATACTGATTCTATCATAAACGGTCTACGAAGAATTAAAGGCACAGTTCACGATCACGATGGTTTCTTAGATTTTTCCTCGAAATGACCTGGTAGATTCCAAGGGTAACAGGAAGGACGCTGTCGTGCCCGAAATCTCAAGAGCTAGGGCATAAGAGCCCTTTAAGGATCGGCAGGATGTCACACCCATGATGTGTCAGAAGGGCTACGGTCAAGTCGTGCGTCCGAGGACGCGTGCGGCAAATTGCGCGGCGAAACTCGTGACGATTCAAACGACTCTGCGACTATTACTGGCGCACAAACTTGAAGTAGAATAGTTGGGTATGGTCAGCTGATCCTACTGATCTGCTCTACTTCAGGTTTGTCCCCAAATGATAACCGCCACAATCGTCCAAATTCGCCACGAATTTGCCGCGTGCGTCCCCGGACGCACGACTTGATACATACCGTGCCAGACGAGCGTCGAGACGATACGATTGCAAAATTCACTCCAGGACCCACACTCAATCAGCTGGTCACCTAGTAATGGGGCGATGTTTTTATCCTGTTCTTTTTTCTCTGTTATTCTTTTTGCTGCTGCGATCCTTTATCTAGTCCTCTATCTCGAAGGACAAAAAAGGCAGGCTATTTTTGGGATTGATAGTGTTTTGTTGACTTGTGCTTATGAGTGAATGAATTTAAAGGCACAATTCACGAAAAAAAAAGTTTCGGAGATTTGCACATGGTTTGAATTCGACGCCCCCTCTGATACCATTTGTGCAGAAATGAGGTCGGAAAACGGTCTGCATAGGGCACAATAAGGGCAGTAACAGTGTGGGACGGGAGGCCTCCGCCCCTCGCTAGGTTTACTACGAGTTCTAATTGTCCTTCACCACTTTCGCATTGGAGCAACATTAGTGAAAAATCGATAAGCTTGTTGGCAAATTGCCCACAGACGGTCAGCTGGTCGACCGCCTCGTACTGGGACTACTATAGACTTTAGCATTTTTGCTCACTGTTGTATGGCTATTCGCAGCTATTCGCACCAGGACCCACACGTACGCAATACACGTACATGTTGTATAGCTCTGCTACATTTCTTAGTTCCAATTTCGTCCATTCCTTTTCATGATTTTTTGAAGCCTTTTATCTCTCTGGTAACGCCGATACGCGTTTCCAAAGTGATAAAAGGCTTCACCTTCGCCTTTATCGCACTGTTTTCCACCTTCTCTTTTATTTCCCCTCATAATCTGGATAATCCAAAATATCGTGAACTGCACCTTTAATCGGTCGCCAACCATCGACTTGCCACAGCTTTTGCTAGAGTGCTTTAATCGAGTTGGAAGTGTAATCAACGGAAATCTCTACTCGTGATAAATCCAGTGCAATAATAATTTTTTCCTTCCCTCTTTATAAGAAAATCGGAGATCGAGTTTTCGAGCACTTCGGGTATTACCGGCGGCCATAACAGCACCATGAACCCTCTATTTCAATAGGAACCTCTATTTCAGTATTCAAATGACATTTACGACACAATAATCAAGAGGAGTATGAAGAAAACCTGATTGTCTCGATCCCCTTTAGAAAGTATTGGAACGAATCAGCTGAAAGCAATGTCTCAGAATGCAATCTTTCCGGGAATCTCGCGAGTTCATCTGGCCTTGCATCTTGTATGAAGACCATTTGACAGCCCTGCTCATTGGAAGTTCATATATGTAGCCAATAGATTATCCTTTTCAAACATTCTCAGTGTTTTTTCACGGGAGTCTATATTTGAATTTCCATGCGCTAATTTTACCTGCAGTCATAATAGCATCGTAAACCATTCACACCCGTACAGATGAAGTTCGGTCACTTCCTGCCACCAATGTCCTGATTGTCTACCCCACCAAACTTGAAGCAAGTTTGAAGGCCTATTCAGGAATGAAATTTTCGCGAATCTCGCAACACCAGAGAAATGAGTAGCCTTGCCCCATATCCCTAGTTTTCCCATCCTGCCAACTGCGCTCCTACCAAGTTAAGAATTATGGGCGTATGGGAGCAGAAGTCATGAATTTCCATTTCCTGCCAAACTTTTACTTTTCGCAAACCTGCGTGTAGAGTCTGGTCCTCTCACCCCATTAGAACTCCTTTCCTGCCGCCTGCGCCACTTTTAAAGTTGAATGCCCTAGGTCCAGTGGGATAGCAGGAAATGACAGAATGCACTCAAAGGAATTCCCGACGTTGTGAAAGAGATGGCAAATGAAGATCGAGTTTGTTATCATGTTGTTATCGTTATCGACTACATTTCATTAGATCGACTACATTTCATTTGTTGTTTCTTGTTCCTCATACTAGCCCTAAGTTTCGTCAGCTCTCAAACCATGGTATATGGACACCGTACGTCTACATTTTTCTCATTTTTTCAGCTGACTGATGTTTAGAACGAAAATGCCTAAATGTCAATTTCAGGTGGCGATTTAGTGACCTTAGACGCATCTTTCGATCTTTTCGTGGCATACTTCAGCGCATTTATTGTGACGACGTACATTCTGATTCTGTGCAGTGAAAGGGAGGAAGCTGGTAGTCACCGAGTGCTGAGAAAGGTACTTAGCTTGTTTCCAAGCAAAGTGGTATGGATTTAATATAGCGCCATATGCCTCTTTCAAGCGGTAAGGTCCGAGTCGTAGGACCTTTGAAGTATTGATTCATTGCAAAGATCCATTACGGAACAGCAATGAATCACAAAGCAGAGGGATTGTAAATTTTACATGTAAAATGACGCTAATCGCTAAGTAACACAAGCAACTGAAGAGGCTCCCTTGATTGCGATGATAAATCTCCGACACCTTACAAATCAGCTTGCATCTAAAAGATCTTTGGCGAGCACTAAGTAGGAGATGACTGGGCTTGAGAGTCAGCTTGTCAGTTAGTCGTAATGGAATAGATCACATCATCCTCAATTGGAATGCAGACCTTACTGACAGCTCTATAACGAAACAGTCTGTCGTCGTTCTTCCGGATTATATATATTTATTTATTTATTACATGAGGTATCTCATGTGATAAATTTCTACACGAATCGCACTCACCCACCCCTCCGCTCTAGATTCTTTTTTTCCGGATTCAGGATGAACTAGGAAAAAAAAAAGTATCCTAAGCTGCCTAGAGATGCCCCTTTTCAAAGACTTTTAAAATGATACGTCAGGGTAGAGTGATGCAAGTTAATTGGCAATCGATAGTGAACGTCCGACATGCGGAGGGTCCTCGCCACTCTCAGCCCTATGGAGGGTAGCAATGAAGGAAGGCCTGAAGGAGCGAAGAGCAGCAGTTCTGACGGAAAACCGCTAAGGCCCGGAAGAGCATTCGCAATCCCTTCGTTGTCTTTATGGAAGAATTTCTGCATTTTGAAAGGGATTGCACGTTTATCTGCATGAATACCACCTCAGAAAAGTGGACAAGTCGCGGACTCGAGACATCTTCGACAGAATTGCAGAACATCAGATGAATGACAGTCTGAGCAGAGGGTTTAGTATGCTGGATCACATCTACTGTCACAAGAGTCACTGAAGCCTTGTGGGATTTTGAAATGTCGTTGTATCTGTCGCTCATCAATTTGGAGAAGGCTTTCGATTTTGTCGAGACAGACAGAAGACTAATTGGAGCTTGACAAGCAGGGTGCTCCTTTTCAATGTATAAGAATGCTTTGTTAGCTCTACAACAACTACATGACAGGGTTTCGACATTCTACAAGTTATTGTACACATGGAGAGGGGATGCGGCACGGTGATAATATCTCGTTCAAACTTTTCAGTGTTCCTCTCATGCGACATATGGGATGGGAAGACTTGGAATGGTACCTGCTCATTTTTTCGATGAGTATTTCTGAACGCTCGAGCAACGTGTGTGTAGGTCGAAAAATCAGTATGCTGTGTGACATAGCACCGGAGCTGAACAGAAGGAACCCCGCTGCGTGGGGAGCATTCAAGAATGTCGAGGAAGCAGTGAGGGAGCAGAGAATATCTGGCTTTGAGGTCACCTTTCCGACCGTGTGGTTGATTCTCGCTTCAAGACATGGACTCTAACCAGGGAAGGGTTTCAAATTCCCATGGAACTTTGTACAGAGACCTAGGTATACCGATAGGGTTTGGAAAGTTATTAAAAAATATGGAAGTCAAAACTGCAAAATGAGTACCGAAAAAGTTGTGAACGTTCAAAGTTTGCATGCTTAAAGCATGGAGAGTAGTGCTAGTTGATAAGCCCAGCTGCCCGCAAAGGCTGCAACGATCCCGGTGGCTTAGTGGCTGTGCTCTCCCTCTCCGGGTGAGAGATGATGCTTTGCTTCCCGTTGTCGTATCGCTTTTGCAAAACGTGCCTTCATCCGGATAAAAACTCCTAATACGTTATTTCCTAATTTAATCTAATTCTAATTTGAGTTGACGCTCTGATTCGGATATCATTTGCGATCGCCTATCTATCACCTATCACCGCACTTATTTAAAATTTGTTGAGGTGGAGGAGGAAACCGAAAACACTTGAGACAGATACGCGTGAAAAACTGAAATTTGATGAAATAATGTAAGAAATGGGTGAAACAGGTTTGTTGTTCACAAAATACGAACCTCATGTGTAAATGCGGTCTCTCTACAACAACCACCATCTACGCGTCTCCTCTACTAATTTTTTGGGTTGCTTCATCGATGCTGGGTTTTCTCGCGTGTCCACGACTACTTCACTTCGGGTGTGGGTATGTGTGTTTCGATGTTGAAAATGAAAGAGCATAACCAAAATGACTTGGAGAAGTTTTGAATAAGTGCGGTGGTAGGTGATAGATAAATGATCGCAAATGATAGCTAAAACGAAGCGCTAACTCAAATTGGTAAGAATAACGTTTTAGGAGCTTTTATTCGGATGAAAACATGTTTTGCAAAAGCGAAAATGTTAACGGGAAGCAAACCCTCATCTCTCACCTGGAGAGAGAGAGCAGTGCCACACGCCATGGGTACTGTTGCAGCCATTGCGGGCAGCTGGGCTTATCCATTAGCACTATCTCTTCATGCTATAACAATGCAAACTTTGAACGCTCACAACTTTTTTAATAGACCCATTTTGCAGTTTTAATTTCCATAATTCTTGATAACTTTCCAAGCCCTATTGGTTTACCTAGGTCTCTATTCGAAGTTCCATGGGGAGTGTGAACCCTTCCCTGGTGAGGAG